TTTTGTCGTGATCTTTTTTCGCATTTGCATTGCTTGATTTTACATGCCAAAATGTTTAAATTAACTCAAAATAGAAGATGTTTTTGTACCGTTGATATTTAGTTGGTTTTCAATATTTAAGTTGCTGGATGCCTGTTCTGGTTTGAGTCTATGAAGAAATTTATTAAAAATTCATGTTGACTGGTGATGTTTTACTCGCAATGCTATAGTGCAGGAGACTTGCGTCGTGCAAATGGCCTCCTTGCCTGTTATGGTTTTGTGCTTCGTGATGGCAAACATTTTTCAATCTCAGTATACAACCTACTAATGAAGGTTTTCTTCTGATCAGTAGGGAGAAAGTTTCGTTATGAATATCATATTTCAGTGGTAGAGATTGCAAATGTTTTTCTGAACAGAAATAATTTGAATGCTTATTTTTTCCCATCTAATTTAGGGGCATATAAACTCAGGCTGTCCTAACGCTGCAATAAGCATGCTCAATGAAATTTTACATCAGGGAATAATGCCTGACAGGATCACATATAACACACTCATTAAAGCATATGTTCAGACTGAAAAGTTGGATTTTGCCATGCAATTATTTGCAGAAATGAAGGTAATAACTTGCATTTGTAATTTAAATTTAATAGTTTTGTGGTATAGATAAATATGGAACTTCAAAATTCCAACCTTTGATATTTTTAGGAAAAAGCGCAGAAATTTTTCCGTGATGATCTGTTTCCAGATATCGTTACATACACAACATTGCTCAAGGTCAGATTTCTCAAATTTACTCACTTGTATGATTAATTTGTTGCAGTACAAAACTATTAACATTTAAATCAAATTTTGCTTTATTCTGTAAAATATTTTGATCGTTGGCGTCCGGAGTTAGGTTCACTGGTTTCAGCTACTAGTAATTGTTATATTTCAATGATTACTTATGTTCTCATTGTTTTAGCAGTCATGTGTGAACATGACATGCCTTGAACATTTACTTTAGCGAAATTTAGTTATGGCCTCTACTATAAATTCTATTGGCAGTTCAGGAGGGTTCTTTGGCAGAACCTCTCTCAGTTTTGCTCTTTTAATGCAGGGTTGTGGGCAGGCAAATGATCTCATTTCAGTTAGGCAAATAGTGCTGGAAATGAAATCTCGTTCTGAGTTATACATTGATAGAACTGCTTACACTGCAACAGTTGATACTTTACTAAAATGTGGCTCATATAAGGGTATGCTTTCATTTGATTCTGGGTATCTTTAGTTGCTTGGAGATGGTTTTAAGAATAAAAGATTTATGGTATTTGTAATGAGATATGGGTGGAGTAAGATATTCAAAACAAGTGCTAATAATCAAAATTATGCCCATGAGATTAATGGGTTATACCAGTCTCTTAAATTGAAAGGTCAAATAATGATATACTGCTGATTTGCATTTTGCATTCTTCTAGGTTGAGTAAAGATCATGAATGTCGTATTTTATGAATTTCAATTATGTTAAATTAGAAATGGATAACAGTTTAACTTTTGGCCCCGTTTGCTGAAAGCTTATGTCTCATAAGGACACGTCAAACTTTCAGTTAAGTGCGCAGTAGAACCACATAGCAAGTTAAAGCTTTAGGAATATGGGTGTGGCACAAAAAGAACTATTTTAAACATAGTAAAAGAATGAAAATTTACTGTTATGAATTTCAATTACAATTTCATTTTTTAATGAAGCTTGAATAGATACTCTTAGTATTTTTCTTTAATAACTACTCGATTAGTGCTTTTGCTCAATCCTTTTGCTTCATCAACTTGTCGATAAATTTGTATTTTGTTCGTCATATAATTGAATTATTGTGGGGTTTATAGGTGCTCTGTGTATTTTTGGAGAAATACAGAAGCAGGTTGGTTTGAATCCAGAGTTGAGACCAAAGCCTCATCTCTATCTTTCCATAATGCGCGCCTTTGCTTTTCAAGGAGATTATCATCTTGTTAAAAATTTGCATAAGCGGATTTTGCCAGATACCGCAGGAACCATCTTACTAGTTGCCCAAGAAGAAGCCGACCACCTTCTAATGGAAGCAGCCCTGAACGCTGGCCAGGTATTATTAATGTTTCTGTTTCTAATTTTCAACATTTTGATTGGGATGAAGAAGTTAACAACTCACTTGTTCTTGACATTTTATGCATGTTTTTCTATGCCAGGTTGACGTCGCTATTAAAACTCTTACATATATTGTTTCAAGATGGAAGGGAATTTCCTGGACAAGTCATGGAGGCATGGTGTGTAATTACTTTTTCATGAATTTTGTTGTCTTGAAATACATCCATTTAGTAGTTTTTAAATATTGACATTAATTTATATATCAGGTCCGTTTTAAAAAAAACATCTGATGAGTTTCTTGATTTTGGTGTTTCTTATCACATTAAATATTATGATCAACTGGTACTTCAATTTATATTGTGGTGTCTTTCTAACAGTTTCCAAATATTGTTCGGAAGTGAATTTCTGAACAACCTGTTAGGCATTTGAATTTTTTCCCCTTAAAATCCTAATGTTGTCAGCTGGTCAGATTCTTAACTATTTTCCTGTGCTTATGTAATTTAGGTTGCTTCTCGTATTGAGGCCTTGTTGGGATTCTCAACGTCTTCTTTATTCAACCCTTTCTTACTTCCTCAGGTACTAACTAAATATATTTTCATTGACATCCTTTTCTTTAGGTGGCATTGAGCTATATTAAATTAAAGAACAAGTGTGCTTTACTTGTTTGTACATGCATTTGAATCCACTTTTTCTAAAATTAAATGTTTTGCAGGCTCTCATGCTTTTATTTATATATTCACAATTCACAAATGTTTTCCATGACTCCTGTCTTTGGCTGTTTGTTTTACATTGCACTGCGTTGCATTTTCAGCAGTTTCTTCTTTTTTTTTCTTAGAGAACATGTATATTGTCTTATTATGTAATCTCGTGGTTTAGGTTTCGCCTTCTGAACCGGTTGAGGGTTTCATGATACCATTTGAAGCAGCTCGGCCACTACAAGGTACCATAAAGCTGAAGAATGTGGTTACACGTTTCTTTAATGACGCAGTAGTTCCTATTGTAGACGAATGGGGAAGTTGTACTGGGCTGTTGCACCGCAAAGACTGCAATCAGGTATGTTTATGAGATTATCATTTGAAGAAATAGTGTTATACTATAAATAATGCATTCTACAGTCTTTAACTGACAAGCCTATTCTTCAAGTCATGGACATGGAGAGAAGTTAACACTAATGGATGTACTTTCTGTACCGGGCCCATAAAGGCTTATTTATTCATACTTTATTAAAGAAAACAACATTTGAGTTACAAAAATGTTTTAACATGATTTATATTAATGCACGGCCACAGACATTGATACATCAATGTATCGACAATAATAGACATTTTTCGAAATATGATCAATTTTTGGTTTGGCTTCTAACTATCTAATACTGTGATGAATTTATTATGCAGTTGGATGCTTCACTTTCAACAATGATGAGGAGCCCTCCTCCCAGTGTTACGGCTTCGACATCTGTTGGCCATGTAATTGATTTAATGTTGGAGAAGGGTTACCCAATGGTTATCATTGTAAATTGCACCGACGCGTATGCTACTTCATATGGCTGTAGAGCAGTTGGTGTTTTTACATTAGAACAATTGAATAGACTTGTAAAACCTGTATCTGAAGGGAAAAGGACAGACCTTTCACTTTGCAGAAGATGATAAATTGATAATAAAACATGTTTAGTTGTACCAAAATGTCAAATTTAACTTTAGCGGTGTCAAAAAATTCATAGGCTTAAAGTCGAGTAATTTCCACCTGGGTAACTGAAAATTTTCTAGTTAACTGCATTTCCCCTTAACTGTCACTTAATGTGTTGCCATATATGGCTGCCTAGGACTTATGGTAAGTATTTTTTTTTCTAAAAATGATTAAAGGGGATGCATGTATGCATCTTAAATCCATTCTTGAAAGTTCTTGTTGTAAGGACAAGTCCACAAAGAATCTCTACTTGAAAAGGGCAAGTTCATTGGTGAATTGGAATCTTGCCTCAATGGTGCTCAAGTTTGAACTATTTGATGAAGGTTTTTTGAGGAGGATAGTGAGTTTCCTCTGTTAACAAAATCTAAGCTATGTTAAAGAAGTGAAGGCTAAGGAAAAATCAATAGTAGAAGGAGGAGCCCAACTGATCAATAAGAATCAAATCATTTACTAAGAATGTAAGAAGCCATGGTACACAAAGGAACACAAGAAATTTTTGAGTAAGAAGAAATGAATGATGACAATATGGGGGAGTTTGGATCTTTTATCAATTGAGAGTGAAGATGAAGTAAAAAGAAGTCAACTTCTCCTGTCTCAAGGCAGATGTTAAGGAGCAAGAAGGGAAGGTAATTTTTTTATCTAGTTAAACTTCACTTTGGAAAAAGTTGTTATGAACTTAATAAAAAATTATTAGCTAAAATCTTCTTAGTAAAAATTAGCAATCATAATCGTCAAATTATATTAGCTAATATCTTCGTAGTCAATAGATGAATAGAAAATGCAAGTGGGAATGTAATTGAAGGTAAAAAAATCTCTGTTTTTTAAGCTTTGAATTCCTGCAGGTTGTGAAAATCAACGAAGTTGAATGACTACACTCCCATTCAAGATTTTGTAAGAGGAAGCTCTGTATACATCAGAATAAGTTCTTCGACTCTCTTGTTTTTTTTTTCTTCCTATTCCTGAGATCATGTTCTCTAAATTGAGAAAGTTAGAAGGAAAAATGAGAAGTTATAACCATTAATTGGAAAATCAATAGTTGAAATTGTAATTGCAACAACATACACATATATATATATAACAATGTTTTTTAAAGCTCAACAGTCGAGTTTTCAGTTAAATGATTATAACTTCTCTCCAAAACTGCTCCCTTTAATTCCATGATGCATTTCAGCAAAAGTATAGTCTCACATGAAATAATACATCAGACAGCAAAGTATAGTCTCAAGTAACTTTTTACACGCACGGGTCATTTGGTTTGATGATCAATGACAGTTTGAAATGCTCCAGCCAATGCAAGAACCTTGTTCTTCCTCCCCAACAGCTTGCTTGCAGTTTCCTCAATCATGTCATTAGATACTTGAGATTCCTTCTTCCCGTTTCCTCCTCCTGCTAGTTGTTGCTTTGGTTTCGCTACCTCAGCCTTAGCTTCTTCAACTTCTTCACTTACCCCTCCTTCAACAGCTTCCTTCTCTTCTCTTCCCTGTTCTTCATTGGTCTCATTTTTTTCATCTTCTGGAACAATCCCACTTTCATTTTGTTCATTTTCATTCACAACCTTTTCCCTTTCAACCTCAGAATGATCGACTTCCTCTGATTGATTCCCATTATTGTTCTCTTTCTCTTCATGCTCGACTTCTTCTGATTGATTCCCATTATTGTTCTCTTTCTCTTCATGCTCGACTTCTTCTGATTGATTCCCATTATTGTTCTCTTTCTCTTCATGCTCGACTTCCTCTGATTGATTCCCATTATTGTTCTCTTTCTCTTCATGCTCGACTTCTTCTGATTGATTCCCATTATTGTTCTCTTTCTCTTCATGCTCGACTTCATGTTTCTCTCCATGCTTGACTTCATGTTTCTCTTCATGCTCGATTTCATGTTTCTCATCATGCTCGACTTCATGTTTCTCTTCCTGTGACTCCTTTTCTGCTTCTTCTGAAACTGTAGAAATGACTTTCTCATCATCAACTTGATTCTGAGGTGTGCCAGAAACTGTAGAAATGACTATGTCATCTTCAACTTGATTCTGAGGTGTGCCAGAATCCTCAAGAACTTGATTATCATGTTCATGCTCATGTACTATTTCAGAGTTGACATCAGATAAAATATTCTGTTGAGATGCATGTTCTTCTTTCTCCACTTTTATCACCTCATCTTCTAGGTTTGTAACTTCTTGAACTTCTTCAACTTTCTTAACATCTTCAGCTTCAACATTTGATGAATCTTTATTCGTAGTAACAGATTTGATCTTTACAGGATTAACAGAAGCAGCATGATCATTAGATACCTTCTTTGTAGTGTTAGAACTAGCAATATTGCTATTAGGGGTGGTGATCTTCTTTGCAGGCTTTTTCAATACTTGCTTAGTTTTTGCATCACTTGGTGTCTTTTCTGAAATGGGTTTTGAAGAGTTGATGCTTTTAACCGGAGCAACGGGAGATCTATTTATTGAAGATCTTTCTCTAGGACCAGGGGAAACAAGGGCTTTGTGTAGTCTTGAAGGAGAGGGTTGTGTTGTTTTTGTTAAGTTTGAAGATGAGAGTGGTTTATCAAATGATCTTCTTCTTATTGGAGGAGGTTTAATTGGAGTCTCAGTTTTGGTTTGTCTGAAACTTGTTGTAGGTTTTAGATGGCTTGGAATGTTTTTTTCTGATGGGGTGGTTGAGTTACTTTTGATGGCTGTGGATGGTTTTGTGATCCTTTTGGTTGGTGTAGGGAGAGAACTAGAAGATGGGACCTTCTTCTTCTCATTTCCAACAACTGTACTACTACTCTCTTTAGGTTTTGTTGCCATAAATAATTAGGTATTTAAGCTAGGAAATTCTTGATTCAACCTACAAACTGAAAAAAAAAAGAAGAAAGTAATTAATCTCAACTGAGTAGTTCAAAAAAATTGTCAGATTCCTGAATATCAACCATTTGTTTACATTAACACATAATAAAATATACATAGAAATGCCATTGTCATTGATTGAATATTGAATCAACCGCTTACATCCGTATATCTCAATTATCACGTATAACGCTTCAAAACCGAGTCATTAGTTGTTTTTCTCATTAATAATGGAGACTAATTTCTTTGAGGAAACACATGATATTGTGACCAAAATTTTGAATGTAAGGAATTGTTTTTAGAGATCATTAATGTTATGGACCACATTATCATACCCCTACATATTGAGAGCCTAAATTAATAATGTCCTCTTTTACTCTATTTCTTCTTATATTAAATAGGACCTACATGTCTTATTGGTTCTTGAAAATAAGTGGTGATGATGTGTATACAACATAGAAAGAGAAATTGCGATGAATTTGCAAAGAACAAAAGAAAGCATCCCAAAGATAAGAAAGGTACATTTTGGGAATTTAAACCCAAGATATTGATATATAGAAAAACATCTAAATTCATCATAAATTTGTGTCTGAATGACTTGTAAGGAAAAGTGAGATAAAAGTACACCTCAAGTGCTAATCAAATGATTATTATCATCACATATAAATTCTTTAATTTATAAACAAACAAAAAGTTATTATGTTCCTCTGACTTTTGAAAAGTAAAGAAGAACAACAAACCATTAAGGAACATGATACAAAAAATTAAACAAACAAAATAAAAAGGAAGCTACATTTACATGGAGGAAATAAAAAAACAAAAATAAGGATGATCATGTTTTGATAACATACCTTGTCAAAAGAAAGTTGATGGAAGAATGAAGTTGTGGGAACAAAACAAATGAAATTGTTTAGGAGGAAGAAAATATAACAAGTACATAAAAGAAGAAAGCATAAATCACGCACAAGTCAATGGAGCTGTATTGCAGGCCATGAAATCAAAAACCAAATTAATTGTTTCATATTTTTATCAAACTAGCTGTGAATAACCGATATATTTGGGGGAATATGAGAAGCATAGTTGACCTTTTCTCTATTAATAATTATTTTAATTTTCTAAAATTAACAAAATTTTATTTGTAAAAAATATAATATTGTTACTTAAAAGCATTTGGTTGAGATGAAATAGATATCTTTCAGTTTAATTAGAAGTTTTAGATTCGAAATAGGCTGTGTAATATAATTCTTTTCGATTTGAAGGTTAATTAATCTTTACAGTTACGCACAAAAGACATTTGATTTATAAAAAATATATAATATTGTTTTTTAATGAAATATATCTTTTATTTTTTATTATGAAATTGTTTTTTTTTATGGTTGAGCATAACCCAAATCAACACATTACAATTTGCTTTCCATTAAAACTTGTCAAATTAATGGATAGTTGAGTCAATGATAGATATTGCTAAAGATATATATAATTAGGTGACATATGGCAATACTTGACACTTCATTATAATCCTACACAATCACTACAACTATCATTCTAATTTAATTTTCATTTTTATTTATTTTTGATCAAAAAATACTAAATTATTTATTAAATAAGATTATTATGAACTTAGATTTTATCTTAACTTATTTAAAAAGTCGTGATAGGATAATCTTTTTGATGAATGAATTGTAAATACTTCTATAAATAAATTCTCGGAACTTAATTCATCTAAATTTTTAATAATCAAACAAATATTTATCAAATAGAAAATTTCACATCACTAACCAAAAAAAAGAAGCAGGATTCATTTACTAAATTTAAAGTTTTTTTTTTCCTTCCAGATATTGAATTTGTTTGTTATAGATTTAAGGAAAAATTAATTTTATTTTTATGTTTTTAAAATATTTTTGATGAATTCTTTTTTTAAAATAGCGAAAAAGAACATTTTAAATTTGTTTGCTATAAAGTAAAAGTAATTTTGATTTCTAGTAACTTAAATATTTATTATTTAAATATTTCAAAATTATAAAATATTACATAATTTTTTTAGAAAGACATTTCTCAATTTTCTTTAGATAAATTTTATGAGATTCTATTTTTTTTTCAATTTCTCATTTGAAAGATCTTTTAAATGAATTATAAAAAAATAATGAAATGATTTATTTATTAAGAAAAACTATACCAAACATATTTGTTATTTGGCTATTATCGTGATTGTTGATAAAGAAAACGAGTATGTAAGAGATGATATCATACCAAAATAATTGTTGTATAGCCGGACAATAATGAGTAACAATTATTGCTCTACATACCTCAAATAAAAATATTATACATATTTGTTGATACTCACCATTTTAATATTATTAATTTTAAATGTTTTCTATTGATATTATATATAATCACGATTAATATTATATTGATTATTCATAACTAAATAATTTACTTAGAGCAACAAAATTGTTTAAAGAGAAAAGTAAGTTTGAGATTTGTAATTTAAATGTGATTAATATTGTATTGTAAGAGAAGTGATACATTCACATGTTTTTCAGGTTTGCTATTCCTATACTTCATTTATACACCAATACATACATCATATTTTCTTAAATAAAAAAATATTTTCATAAACAATAAATGAACAGTGCATAAACAGTACTCATAAACAGTACATGAACAGTGTACATGAATAGTATTTATGAACAGTAGTTTAAAATAGTGAATAAAGTTGGTTAATGAAAGGTAAAAAATTGGTTAATAAAGTGATGAAGTTGGTTAATAGACGCTTAGAGTTAAAAATATTTTATATCAATATTATTTAATTTGAAAATTAAAAAATTAAAAAAAATTAATTTTTTTTTTATATATTTCACTGTTCACCGTATTGGTGAACAGTGAAATACGGTGTAGGTGTACGATTTGATGTAAGAATAACATTTTTCCATATTTTTTCACCGATCCACGTGAGAAATCTTAAGATAGGTCAGCAAATATTTTAATATATGGATGAGTAGAAGAAAAATATGTTTGTATGAATTTTATTTAATTTTTTCACTTGTAAGATTGAGAAAGATGATTTTGCTATGACAAATAACTCTTAAAACTATTATATTTCGACAATAAAGATATTTTTATATCATTTGTCTTTTTAAAAATTTGAATTTTTTGGTGTTGGTTCTTGCCACCTTTTCTGAAAATAACTCTAAGCTCCCCACTAGGTTTTCAATGTCTGAGTTTGCTATAATCAAATCTTTTTCGGCTTCTTATTGAGCGTAGCAAAATCAAGGTTGTTTATTATAAAGTCAACGAAGTTTTTATGGTGTTCTATCTTTGCGTAGTATCGATCCACAGTGGAAGGCTCCGTACCGACGCCTCACTACTACTTAATTAATGGCTAAGCTATTTCATAACCTGAGCTTTCCTTAACCAGCTGACCTTACTTCGTAATCTTAACGTACTTTCTTTCTTACTATATCATAGGTCTTCGCCACTTCAAATGGGCGCTTCGCCCTTTCTTTTTTTATGAGAAAAAAAACGGGGCACACAAAGGTTTATGAATGGAGTGACAAATGATTACGCCATTGTATTGTATATGTTCATATTCTAGTTAAATATATATAATGTATACTATTATGTAAATAATAAGTGCAATAAAATTATTTATTTATTTATTTAAAGTTAATATTTATATTCATATTTTTGAAAAAAATTAATAATGATTTTATTTTTATATATTCTAATTTATATAAGTTTAATTATTATTTTTTAAATTTGATATCAATTTTTTCATTTATATCATATGATTTTCAATTTTATTTATTTTAAAATAACTTATTAATATTATATTTGGTTTAATATTAGTTTTATTCCACATCATAATTTCAGAGTTTATTTCGCTTTCTTAAATTCAAAAAAAGTGAATATTGGTTCATTACCTCTCAAAAATGTAATATGTTAATCATTTTCATTTAATTAATAATAAAAAACTCAATAATCGATAAATCAATTCATCGTTAATTAAACAAAAAAGACCTAAAAAATTAATATAAATCTTTTTTAAAATAAACTTCAAAATTAATATAAGATTAAAAAAATATTATACCTTTATTCTTTTATCTTATCATGTTGAATTCTAACTCCATATCATCAATTTTTTTTTGATAAAATAATCATTTCAATTTCTAAATCACCTCATATCATATTTCGTTATCTCATCAAATAGTAGATTGACACAAGATATAATACAAAAATAATTTATGAAAGATTATTCAAAATATTTTTATTTTTATTTTGATATTAGAAAAGTCATAGCAAAATGATATAATATCTAAAATAGCATTTTATGAAAACTCATTTAAACTAAATTTTTGATTATTTTTTTATAAAAAAATCTTTGTAATTTTTTTTTATAAAAAAATATACATAATAATATAAAAACCACTTTTGAATAAAAGAGAAGTTTTCGCATGAAGCCTTTTGTTTTTGCTGCTTCCACGTCGCTGTCGCCGGTCAAGCCATCAGATGTAGGTGCATCTAAGTCTCCTAGACCGTCGTTTTGGGATATTCTCACTTAAATCCAAAGAGCCACTACTGCGAATGAGATATTGAACCTGAATGAAAGAGGATTTATGAAAGTCTCTCTTGAAGGAGGAAATCATTTGCTACCATAACTCATGGTGGATGAAAAACTTTTTCAAGAATTGTGCAATCCTTGAAAGGAGACGCTAGTCATCAAACTCCTTGGGAAGAATGTGGACTATCATTCGATGAATGATGGGTCGAAGAATATGTGGAAACTTAACGGAGGTTTTGAGATCATAGACGTTGACAATGTTTTCTTTATTGTCAAGTGCGAACTACTCGCAGATAGGGAGAAAAATGTGTCAGAAGGCACGTGGATATTGTTTGACCATTATTTGGCAGTGACTCTATAGACTCCAGAATTTACATATCCTCTCGTAATGGTGGAGAAG